AATCAATTTTGGAAATTATCTTAGCTTGACCAACTTTATCAATAACGTCTTCTATTCGAGGTAATGGATAGGAATCAGCTTTGGTGAGCGCATTTACCTTCCTAAAGTCGGTCACAAACCTGAAAGATCCACCGTCTTTCGGTACTAGGAGACATGGGGAACTCCAGCTGCTGAAACTGGGCTCAATGATATCATTCTTGAGCATATAATCAATTTCATCTTTTATCAAAACAGCCTTTTCCGGGTTAACTCTATTAGGGTGTTGTTTGATGGGTTTTGCGTCACCTACGTCTACATCATGAGGTGGAACCTTCGCTTCTTTGGGGACATCCCCAAAAATAGAGGGAAATGTCTCGAATAACTGAGACAATCTATGGCTTTCCTCTGTGGACAAATGCATAAGGTGGACATTCAAATTATCTAAAAAGGAAGAATTTACCAATTTTGGGGGTTTCAATTTATCATGTATCACATCATCAGAAACATTTGAACATACAGGTAAAGTAATTTTAGCTGTGGAATGAACATTGTTACAATTATCATAATACTTTTTCAGTGAGTTAACATGATACACTGTCTGTTTCCTTCTTCTGTCAGGCGTATTGACAACATAGTTCAAATCACTTAATTTTGAATGCACAGTAAAGGGTCCACAATATCTCAAGGATAACGCATTGTTCAGATTAGGCACTAGCACAAGAACTTTGTCGCCTGGATTGAATGTTCGTTTACAAGAACTCTTATCATACAGTCCTTTCATTCTCACTTGGGCCCTTCTTAAGTTCTTGTGAGCCATTTCGCACACGGCTTTCAGTCGAACGTGAAAATCATCAAAGTTTCCCACAGGATGAACGCTGGTACCTGTCCACTGTTCGTGGATCAGCTTCAGGGGACCACGGACAGAATGTCCAAACACAAGTTGAAAAGGAGAGTAACCTAAAGAGTCCTGGACACAGTCCCTCGCGGCGAAAATAATCCAAGGAACAGTCTCATCCCATTGGGTGTTACTGTTAGCGAACGTTCTTAGCATGGTTTTGAGGGTTTGGTGGAACCTCTCAAGTACGCCTTGAGACTGAGGGTGGTAGGCTGAGCTGGTGATGTGGGTAACGCCTAGCTTGGCTAGTGCTTCCTGAAAATGGTGACTGGTGAAGTTGCTGCCTTGATCTGTTTGCACGATTCTAGGTAATCCAAAGGTAGTGAAGAACCGGGTCATGGCTCTGACTACAGTCTTAGCCTTAATGTTCCGTAAGGGAATCGCCTCGGGAAAACGGGTACTTGAACACATAAAGGTAAGTAGGTACTCGTTGCCCGCCTTGGTTTTAGGCAAGGGACCTACACAGTCCATGACGATTTTTGAAAAGGGTTCTTCTAATACAGGAATCGGACTCAAAGGGGACTTAGGAATTGTCTGGTTTGGCTTTCCGGCCAACTGACAGTTCGTGCAACTTCTGCAGTAACGCGACACATCTTTTCTCATTTTGGGCCAAAAGAACAGTTCTTTGATCTTCGCCGTCGTTTTAGAGACTCCTGGGTGCGCTGACATTGGATGGTCATGTGCCAGCTTAAGTATTTCATGCCGATAAGGAGGAGGGACCCACAGCTGGTTTTTACCCAACCATGGTTCGGCTGGTGAGGCATTCACTGGTATAGCGCGACGAAAGAAGAGGCCGTTCTCGGAGAAATATTCTCCATCGTCAGATGATAGAGATTTTTCGACCGTTGCTTTGAGTTCCGCGTCGACTTGTTGAGCTTTAATGATGTCTTCCTGAGATATCCTCAGGGGTAAGCCCAGGCTTGTGTTTTCTGGAAGCATAGACTCCAATTTGGGAGTCGAATTTCTTGACGATGATGGCGGGTGTGGTTCAGACGTTGTGTCAGCCAATTGTTTGGTCTGGCTTCTTGTCACCGCACATGCAGGATACAGTTCATAATCATTATCTGGAACTGTTGACAAAGGGTCTGAAACCGTACAGGGGTATACTTTGCTTCCCGCAAGGTCATTCCCTAGAAGTAGGTGTACTCCTGGGACAGGAATACTATCTATCACACCTAAAATGACTTCACCTTCGACGAGATGATGTTTCAGGGCAAACTTGTGTAAAGGGACGACAGTAGATTTTGTCCCCACTCCCTGGATTATGGAAATATTTCCGGTGTTCGTCTCTGGTGTAATGTCCATTGAACTTTTCAAAAGGAGTGATTGTGACGCTCCTGTGTCTCTTAGGACGGTGATATTCCGCTGAGACAACGGATCACCTGGTTTGCTAATGATGGCTTCGGCAATAAAAGATGAAAAGTCAACTTTTCTCGATCCCTCGAGATCGGTAGACTCGGAAGAAACTGGATGGTGGCGAGAACAGTCAAAATGTGACTGCACATAATGTGTGGAGACTTGACTACCTTCTTGCGGACACTTAGGGTTAGCGTCCCTTGGAATTCTAGAGTTCATATTTGAACCGGCAGCTTGAGGGGGTAGAGCATAGTGCGCAGAAGTACGCACCACCTCTCTGTTAAATTGAAGACGTTTGTAACAGTCCTTGACATGATGACCAGGTCTTTTGCAGAACTGGCTCGACGATTGAGAGTTGATCTTGGTTTCTCTCTGGACTGTGATGCCTTCACGTATTGGCCAACAGGAGGATTGCTGCCAAAAAGGGGAAGCACGGGGTTGAGGCGGTTTCCTGACACTGGTGGTTTCTTATGCACCAACATATATGTGTCAGCCGACTCAGCAGCCTTCTGGACGTCAATTATCTTGTTATCCAGTATGTGTAGTCGTATCTCTTCAGGCAGGGACGATAGGAATTCTTCCCTTAGGATAAGTGACCTGAGTTTCTCAAACTCAGAAACTTCCTCAGAGTGTAGCCACCTTGAGAATATTTTCTCCTTTTCAAAGAGAAATTCCACATATGACTGAGTGGGTAACTTGCGGAGTGTTCGGAATTTTGTCCGATAGGCCTCGGGCGTCAGTGCGTAGGCCTTCAAAATGGCAGTCTTGACCAAGCTATAGTTATTTTGAACATCGTGAGAGAGTGCCTGGTATGTTTTTGCAGCTTTCCCAGTAAGGACCGAGCTCAATAAAGCAGTAATGGAAGTTTCGGGCCATTCACATGTCTTCGCTAAACTCTCAAATGAGTTAAAGAAAACGACCAAATCTGTTTCATCAAATTTAGGAACTAATTTCCCAAATTTGGCAATCACTTGCCCTACCGACAACTTTTTTGGATCTACCAGAGAAGTGACATCACTAACTTGACCAAACTCTAATTCCAACCTCTTCCTATCTAAAGCAATTTTAACTTCTAACTCCTGTTCTTTTAATGCCTTCTCTAAAGCAACTTTCTCCTCACGGAGTAACACACCAGCCAACAAACTTTCATCAAATACCCCTTCATTAATGAAATGAACAACAATTTTATCTCTCAACACCTCTGACTTCTGCGTAACAGAATAATCCAATTTCAATTCCTTAACAAGACTAATCAAAACTTTTCTACTCAACTTCTCGACCTCCTCAAAAGTGGGATTAGCCAAAAAAGACTCCATAACACTAACTTTCAAAAACACAACAAGCCTAGATTCACTAACTTAACACTGAGCGTTGGGCCGTGTACTTGACCTCTTATCGTGACACGTCTGGCTGTTGACCTAGATACCACTAGGCTTGCGCGCGCTGTAAGAACACGGCGCACTGAATAGAAAAACAACCAAATCAAACTAAACTTAGTGCTTACTGATATAACCAACAACTGGAACGACAGATTAAATCTCGGCGAGCCCCCACTTTGTAACGTCCCCTATCTATCAGCCAAATAGAAGGTGAACGTCCCCGGATTCTTTTTTCGGGGTTATATGCAAATGCCTTACGGCCTAAGTGGATGAATACTAACACTACGGCACACTAGGGCTCGAATTCTATGTCTAGGGATAACTAGCGATACTATTGTAATTAACACTCATCCAATCTACATACAACCTTTAATCAGCGAACACAGTTGTGGCAGAACACAAGTTTAAACTAGATAAAATATTTAATATATAAAATATCAGAACCCAACTTACAAAATGTAGGAAAAAACACTATCACAGATTTCAACACTGCCTAATAATAGCCACAGGCCACACAACACTATTATAGCTTCAAGAATTACTTGGCGACAAGTAATATTAAACTAGAAGACTAAATCAACTTAAGAAAGCAAGGCACACACAGGACTTAAGTTCTCTCACGTTCAAATGGTCAGAATATATAGCCAGACAATATGGACGGCTGCCTGATCAAGGTAAAACTGCCACGTGTGGCGAGTGTGCGGTGCAATTAAAGACTTCTGCCACAGGGGAGATTATCCTCAACTCATGTAGCCATTGGTTGGGATAGTCATCTGACCAGAATCATTCAATCAGATCTTAATGGAAAATTTCTATGTTGCACAATCACTCCATATAAGGTATTATACAATGTCAAAATAAAAATAGAACCTGACTCGACCTAAGTAGGTCACAAGAGCTACATCTTTTGGGTCCTTTTTTGTTCCTAGGTCCATATGTACGAATCACACATGAAATCAACTATCCAAACAATAAACTAAGGGGCATCTTTAAGCTATTTTTCGTTGTTCATAAGCATATCTAAACCCTGTCACGGCCATTCATCGAGTAGTTGCGACATGTACATTTTATTCAATGGTTGGGCTTTTCCGGAACAGATTATTCAAAGGTGTTAAATTGTACTAGAAGACATTAGAAAGTCAATATATTTATATAGAAATCCATTTGATAAAATAAACAACATTGTTATTTCTCGTACTTATAATAGCTTCTACATATTTTAATCTAAATTTTTAATTTTAATACTCATTCTAAATAGAAAAAAGAAAAATCAACATTTGTGACAAAATATTTCAGATAAATAAACACAAACAAAATTAAATTTACAAACACATATTTCTTCTTTATTATATTTATTGCTTTATAAAATCAAATGAAATTACAGGGTTTAAAAAATATTTGATACAAATTCTTGTTTCCTAATTTGAATTTTATACATAGGTCGTTTATTATTTTCTAAAATGGGTTTATTCTTTTTTTCCCTAAATTTTAGTTTTTAATTTTTTATCTCTTTTCCAGATGTCCATAACGATGCTTGTCTAGTTACAAAGGTCTTTAGAGCAGAAACAGGTGTTTTTTCCAAGATAATTCACACATCCATCAGCTTGAATAACATTTGATGGGAACTTTCCGTCTGAACAACTGCGTTCAAGCTCTGTCAGGGGAAATGTTGACAATAGAAGGTTAGTAGTTAAGTCTATTATTTTTACAAAATTTAACATTTTTATAAACTTTTTAAAATAAAGATTTTAAATTCACTAAAAATTCGAGCCATATACAATGGACTTCTATCCAGAGTTTCTTCCAGGCATCTCTTCGGGGGGGGCGAAGCCCCCCCCGAAATTTTTTTACCGCCCCCCCCGAACGAAATGAAATTTATATAATTTATATAGAAAATATATACTTTTAACAGTGTCCGCCCCCCCCCCGAAGAAAGTTTACCGCCCCCCCCGAAGATTTCAAGTGCCCCCCCAGAGAAAAAAGTCTGGAAGAAACACTGCGTCTATCGGAGGTGACGGTTAATAAGACAGATGAGCTGATTAGACCCTTGTCGAATATAAAGCGATATAGTAGTAAGCTCTAAGTACAGCCTACATTATTCAGTCTAGCCTGAGAGATTTCTCATTAAAGTAGGAGGGGCATTGGAATGTCTTTATGACACCTATTTGGGAATCAAAAGCGATACATTAAAAATAAAGTCGTTCGCTCTACCACCCGTTGACGCCATTTCGCGAGGAGATGGTGTCATTTTGTAGTATAACTATTGCATTTTGTTGCCTTGGAATAACAATGTCAAGGTGTCATAGGAACTTGTATTATGGGCGTGATGGAATCTTGGTGTGTTTTATTTGTCGTGTGATGGAGGATTGATGTTCTTGATTCGTGGTGTTATGGTGTGCTGAGGTTTTTATTATTGGAATCATGCTTTTGTGCTTTTGATTTTATGCGTGTCATTGAGTTTTATTGTGTACGAGCCGACCCGCGGCTTATCATACGCCGCTATTTAGTTGTTTTTTTTTTCTACTTTTCATTAAATCATAATTTGTGAATTCGACAGTACCAATGCTGCCACTGAAAATATTTGCTTTAAAACACTAAACCCCCCTTCCCCCCCTCTTAGTTACCTCCTCTAAGTTTAAAATCGTTTCAAACTAAATTATCTGCCCCTAATAGCCGTCACCAAACCCGGTTCTACGATTGTTTTGTAAATATTTAGCGTGAACCACAGCTCTCCAGACCATGTGAGGGGGTGGGGGGGGGGGGGGGGGGGGGTAAGCGATAGAGAGGAAGAGAGTGGACTGTAAGGCGCGCCTGCAGCTTGTTTTCTAACGGCTCCCAGAAGAGAATTATATATATAGATGATTTGTGGTATCACGGAGTCTTAGTGGTTTTAATTTACGGTTTAATGAGACTTTGTGTTTGTTTCGCGTGTCGTGAGGTTTTGTTGTATTTTATTCAGGGAGTCTTGGAGTTTTTTTTTTAGATTTGTAATGTCATTGAGGCATGGTGTTTTTGAATCGTTGTGTCATGTAGTCATTGTGTTTTTGATTAGTGGTTATTTTTTTTTTACAGACGCTTACAGTCTCGGATGAGTGGTTTTCGGGGTTTGGTTGGATTGTAATTAAATACTTTTGAGTCAGCCAACAGAGAGGTTGAACGATCTTCGGTCCATTTACCAGCCATTATACATTACCCAGATAGCAAATGAAAATGTATGCTAATAATGTTGGTTTAGCTCGTAATTCAAGTATCTCTACTCACCTTCTCTTAAAGTTGTTAGAGATGTTGTTTTCACACAAGGCCCAGTGCACTTGACAAGCTTAGTATTTTTCCAGCCTACAGTATCCTCAGGGGCGGGGCAATTGTGGCATTTGGAAGTAAATGGGCCGTTCTTGCATTTGTAGCACAAACGCACACCGGATGTTGTTGTGGAACCAACCGAACTAACAGGAGGGTTCACAGTTGTAATTGCCGAAGACCTATCTGGTGGGTAAAGTAAAACAGTTTAAAAAAATAATATTTAGCTTTAAATGTATTTAAAAAAACAATTGTGTATCAGCACCATCGTGTAACAGGTTTGAATTGACGGCCCAACTGGAGACTGGTAATATATAATTCACTCACCACATTTGCAATAGGAGAAACCTGATGTTGCTTTGTTTACGTTTGGGTCTACGACAGATCCAGTAGGTACATTAATTGAACAGATTCCTCCATCAAAGGCGTACATGAAACACCTGTCGTCATTCGCACAAGCTTTGTAACAATCCTGTTAGAAACAACCGAGTCTAATGTAAATCAAATCATATTAAATTTCTTGTTTTACATATTAAAAGAAAAAGTTTATTCTTCCATGTTCTTAATTGTAATATTGTAACAGTTCACCCCCTCTGTACTTTGTGCTTTTTTTCTTTGTCTTTGTCCGCTGAAAGAATATTTTTCAAAAAAGCTGTTTACTAATTTTCGAGTTTTCTCACAAAGATAGAATGCTGTGTTCCGCCAAAAAAATTATTGAACAACAAAAGCCTTTTTAAATGCGGTTTGAATATGCTTGTATGTATAATAAGGAGAATAATTTATACTTAACTCGGGTGATTGAGCTATAACCATCAAGTACGTCGCGGCATCCATAGTTGTACACCCAAGTGCTGTGATTCAGGAATAAAGTAAACATACATACTTACATATGTACATACGTACATACGTACATACGTGCATACGTACATACGTACATACGTACATACGTACGTACGTACGTACATACGTACATATGTACATACGTACATATGTACATACGTACATACGTACATACGTACATACGTACATACGTACATACGTACATACGTACATACGTACATACGTACATACGTACATACGTACATACGTACATACGTACATACGTACATACGTACATACATACATACGTACATACGTACATACTTACATACGTACATACGTACGTAAGTACGTGCATACTTATATACGTACATACGTACATACGTACATACGTACATACGTACATACGTACATACATACATACGTACATACGTACATACTTACATACGTACATACGTACGTAAGTACGTGCATACTTATATACGTACATACGTACATACGTACATACGTACATACGTACATACGTACATACGTACATACATACATACATACATACAATCCGACCGACCGACCGACCGAATATATATATATATATATATATATATATATATATATATATATATATATATATATATATATATATATATATATATATATATATATATATATATACCGAGGGGTTTAACCTCCCTGCCTACGCCACTGAGAAACACATTTCATTTTTAGTTTTTTTGACCAATGATGATCATTTTCTACGATCTTTAAAAAAAAATTTTGTAATTAAAAAGCCACTGTGGGAATGCCGGTTGATGAAACCTAAATAGTATGAGTATTGTGGTAAAACTCACAACAGTTGCAGAAGACAAAGCCATAATTGCTGGTAGGAGGGTCTATTACATCTGAATTTATTATGAAGTTCATGCAGTTTGAGGGCGGACTATAATCGTATTGAATACACTTGGGATTGGATTTGCATCGTTCAAAACAATCCTAAAATTGAAAAAAATTAGAAAGAGTGAATGAAATAGAATTCTTCAAAAAAGTTAAATATAAAACACTCATCTCCCCTAAACTTGCTCGAATATTCATATAAAACAACAGGGGATCGGAACTCGGGCTTTAGACATGATTTTGAATCCATTTTAAATACTTAAAGTTTTTAAAAATAGAATAAAATCTATAAAATCTAAAAGAATTGCAAACCCATTGAACTCCAAATAAAATGTGCTTAATATCGCGCAATATTATTAGTACTTTATAAATTTACATGCGTTTTTTTGAGAAATCGGAAACAGCGTAAATTACTACTTCTGGTAAACGGAAATTACTCAAAATTTGCAAGAAGGTAGAGAATTAATACTTTTACTTATGTGTGAAATTACATTTATCTAACTGAAATAGTACTCAAGTTACAGGCTTTTGAAAAATTCAAAGTAGAAAAAATACAACTTCTGGTTATCGGAAATGGCTCAAATGTTGATACGGATCTAAGATTTTGATATAATACTTATATGTGAAAGTTCATAAACCTTACTGTAACGGTACTCAAGTTATCGTGTTTACAGACACACACACACAAACACACACACTGACAAACGGACAAGATTGCAAATTTATGTTTTTCCGACTTAGGGAGGTGGAAAACGTCGAGATTTGTATCGTTTTTTTTGCACGATTACAAGACTTTCTCTATACTTCTTATATGCGAGAAAGTAAAAATCAGCAAACATGAGCTTACGGAAGAAGCCGGTTTAGGTGTACGCTAAGAATGAGTGGAAGAGATAGGCGGCGGAGCTTTGCTTCGTTCACTAACTCACTTTAACGCTAAGCTCTTTCAGTCACATTAATTAGCTTACTCGTATACTTTAACATTACACTTTTAAGTCCTAACTTAACCTAAATGTTACTATATAATATTTGATTAATATTTGATTACTTTTAATCAGTTTCTCCAGGTTTTTGTATCTCAAATTTTGCTCGTTTGCTAAAACAAATTTTTAACTCGCTCAACCGCTAGATTCGTTCCATTATTGTTTATTTTATCTAAATCATTAATTTATATCTTTTTGCAATACCTAACAATATACGTTTGTCTAGTGTATTATGGGTTATTTATTACTTTCACGTTTACGAAGTATAGATGAAGTATTGTTTTGGGTAGGAAAATACTAAGTATTTTAATTTTGTCGATATGTCTGTGTGAGTGTGTGTGTGTGTGTGTTTGTGCGTGTGTGCGTGTCTCAGAAAACGATAACTTAAGTACAGTTATGTTGTGAATGGACTTTGTTGTATTGAATGAGTTGGAGAGTATGTGTGCAGTCTAATGTGTTTAATAAAAGATGGAGAGGGTTTGAGAGTATGTGTGTAGTAGAACGTGTTTAATAAAAGATGTCGAGGGTTTGAGAGTATGTGTGTAGTGGGATTGATAAAAGATTATAAATGCGTGATAAAGTAAATAAGGATGTGACGAAGAAGAGTATGTTTTGGTTGTTAGAGTATATCAGTCATTCCTTCCTTCAGTCATTACTATAGATTTTGGAACCATAAAAGTATACATCGCACCATGCATTGCTTTTCAGTGCATCGCATTGTCGTAATATAAGTATTAGAATAGGGTTTGTTTATATATTGACTTACATTTATTTTATAGTTGTCACTGCTTTTACTCTTTCGCATAACGTAAAGAAAATAGTAAATACACGCACATTGTAAAAACATATTAAACTGATCAATGACAAATATAATTTTCGTTGGATTCCTAAGAAAAGTGGATACATTTTTATAACATAATAACAGAAGGGTAGAAAAATCTAATTAATGGTTTGATAATTTTGCCAAGGGAGGTAATTTAAAAATAAATTCAACTCACGCAAAATTTTCAAGAGGGAATTATTGTTGGAATAATATAATTAGTAAAATGTGAATGCAAATTCTGCAGACGTGTAAGAAGACATTATTTTTGGAATATTATAATTATCATGGATTGATAAAGGCAATCTTTTATTTATTTTATTTACTGAACGTACTGTTTACTAATTATAATGTGTAATCAACTATCAACTATTATAGACGCGTCATCATGTTTATTAGGTGCGCAGTGGTTTTTTGTCATGAAACTATTTAATTTTTTTTTAAATTTAAAGCACATGAATTAATAAAGTATAATATGGTTGGTAAAACACAGATATTTTAAATACTGCATTTTATTTATTTTATACATTGAACCATGCCCTTTAGTGCTATAAACGGTTTTTCGAAATAGTTTTTTAGAGATCGCTACCGTTTTATTTTTTTTTTCTTGTTGAAGCTAAAATGATACTTTACCTTGTGAGAATTTACAATTAATTCGAGTTGCGAGGTACCTTTATAAGCTTTGCATTCTTCTCCTGTAGAATATATGTAACATTTTAAAAATACCTAATACACATACACACACACTCACACACACACACACATACACACACACACACACACACACACACTTTAAAATAGAGTCGTAATAAAGTCCCTTTCGCAAACTACAGGAATACTGTGTATTTTAAAATTACAAATCTTTGGTGGTTCCAAAATTGTGAAGTTATATAAGAAGAAGGGTAGTTATCAGAATTGTTATATGATATTCGGAGTTGTGAATTATACGATATGCTTATATACAATTATTTGTTGCAATGTGTTTGCGAGAGAAGCGGTATTACATTGTAGTAGAGGAACTATTAGGCTTGACAAAATAAAATACACTTTGCATTTTTGCTAATAAAACTAAGATTCTTCAATTTGAATAATTAAATATCAATTAAATAAAAAACACACGCTTCATTATTCATGCATTGTGATAGAATTAATGTTTTAGTTGTTTTTTTAATGCTTATGAGAGGTTCAACGCCAGATATTACTTCGTGCATTAGTTTAATGCACTTTAACCAGAAATGAAAAAAAAAAACAACATTAACTTATGAGACCGGCCTACAAACAACTTAAATATAGCCTACCGAGCTTGGCTTGTAAATGTCCACAAATTACGATAGAAACACAACTTAACAATTACATTCACATGCAATATGCAAGCAGTTACATAATCTGAATTTAAAATGAGTTAGTACTATGTATTTTAAAACTATGTAACGTAGATGAACCACTCACCTGCAACCAAAAACGGTAAGCAACACAAAAAAACAAAGACCAGCATTTTCAGTAGCTTGGTTGTTACGTCAATACTGTTTAAAAATAAAGATTGTATTATTGTATTATTATAGTCTTTCACTCTTTTTGTCCGTCCGTTCATCCGTCCGTTCGTCTGTCGGTCGGTCAGTCCGTCTATCCATCCACTCTCTCACGATTAACGTATCTAAACAAAATCGAATATTTGTTTAAAAAAAAATTCTTCTACCTAAAATAATTTTTTTTTCTATTTCATTCGGCACTTAGATGGAAGCATTGCTCCCCTACTACGACTACGTTTGTGCGACGGAAATGCAACGTTTAAGTTTTATAGTTAACATCAAAAATGTATTTGTCCTCCAATCATACCATCATCTCATCACGGTGTTTAAAAATACATTAGCAGTGTTATAGTTATATTTGCGGCACATAATGTAAAACTGCAATTTACATGCCCAGTTTTACTAAAACATTTTACATTCGGTGAAAACAAAGCACACATTCTTTTAATCATTTAGCTACGTTTGGGGGTACTTGAAACTTCATGAACTAGATGTGGATAGTGGTTGAAGGATGCATTTGCTTTTAAATTAATGTTTGTCTATTTTGTCCGTAGGGCGTTGGATATGTTCCATCCAGGGGGGTGGGAGTGATGTGATCTCCCCCACCCACCCGCCACCAGGAGAGATGCATAAAACACACATAAAAAGAATTACAGCTTTAAGGCAGTCTCGGGCGTTGACATATAAACAAAATCACGAACTTCACATAAAGAACAACAAACACAAATAAACACAAATAAAAAGTTTTTTTTAAAAATCTGAAATTAATAACTACACAAACTGATAAAAGAAATTGAAGGGCTCAGTGGAAAAAGTACTTAAGTTACATTTTTTCAAAAATGAGTTAAGACCGGTATATTATTTGATTACCTCCCCTTAACCATCCCTGTAAATTTGGGCCATGGAAAGTGTAATAGATTGAAATAATTGTGAGGTCAAGGGAACTCACTCTTCTGTATTAGTTATATTTATAATATTGTTATCTTGAGTGATGTCCCTTGCGTACTTCCTTCCGTCCTCTCTGTGTGTTACCATCGTGGTAGTTAGACCCATTAAATGTATTATATACAATACAGGCTTCTGTCGTCAATCTATTATAACTGGCGACGAAGGATAAACATCTACTAAAAAGAGCACCTACTTACGCAAAAAAGAGGTTTGCTAGAGCTTATTAGCTAATTATTTCTAGAATTATGGCGCTGTATGGCCAAATAAAAGAATTTGATGCAAATGATGAAATCATTCAAGATTACCTAGAGAGGTTAAGCTTTTACCTAGAAGCTAACGACGTGACGATAGAAGCCAAAAAGAGAGCTGTTTTGTTAACAGTCATAGGGCCTCAACAATTTAGGCTACTAAAAGACTTATGCGCACCAGTTAGTCTAACTACCAAGAGCTTTAACGAGCTGAGCAAATTGCTAACAGACCACCATGCGCCTACCCCATCAAAGTTTCTATGTCGAGCTAAATTTGACAGTAGGACTCGTCAACCAAACGAGTCAATATCAGAATATGTTGCTGCTTTACGTCATTTAAGTGAATTTTGTGAATTCGGAGACACGCTGTCTGACAGATTATGTGAAAAGTTTGTGACAGGTGTAAACAGTCCTGATGTTCAAAGAAAGTTGCTGCTCGAGTCAGATCTAACATTGGAAAAAGCAATACAACTTGCAACTTCATTCCAGCAGTCATCAGATGCGGCGAAATCTTTAGCACCTTCAGAGATCCATGCAGTAAACAGCAGGTTAGTCAACAAACATCAACCCCAACAGAGCATTCCAACTTATGCTAAACAGCCTGCTCGTTCAAATCCTAGATCTAAATCTAGTAATAATTATCAAAAATGTCATCGATGCAAAGGTCCCCATGCATCTCATCGGTGCAAGTTCAAGTCTGCAACTTGTTATAAGTGCAGTAAGCAAGGTCACATGGCCAAGGCCTGCTTTGCAAAGTCTTCGTCTGTTGCTAAATCTAGCCAGTCAAGACAGTACCGCAACCAAAGGCAGCACTATGTTAACTCTCACCAAGACTACCTAACCCAACCAATGAACCACTCTACCTGTGAAAATGCTCAAATTGATTTGCAGCCGGATTTCAACCTGTTCTCTGTTAAATCAATAAGTCATGCTCCCATCACTGTACAAGTTAATATCAACGGTAAGAGCATCAGCTTCCAACTTGACACTGGAGCATCTCTAACAGTCATAACAAAGAAAGATTTTGACGCTGTCACAGGAGGATCAGTGTCTCTACAGCCGTGTCACAAGTGTCTAACAACATACACTGGTGACAATGTTCCGGTAATAGGAGAGTGTATGGTTCATGTAAGTTATAATGGTCAAAGTGTTAAACTTCCTCTTCTTGTGGTTGAAGGAAATGGACCGCCATTACTAGGTAGGAACTGGTTAAGTGATCTTAAGTTAAATTGGGAGAGTATTTGTTCATTGAAGAATGTAAAAGAATCTAGTCTTACTTCACTAGATAAAGTTATATCTGAAAATAAATGTGTTTTTGGTAACTCTGGATTACTAAATGATAGAACAGTGAAGTTAAGCATTAAAGATACAAATCCAAGATACTGCAAAGCTAGAGTTCCACCTTATGCAATGAGGAACAAAATTGAAAATGAGCTAAGTAGATTGGAATCTAATGGCATTATAAAGAAGGTAGACTATTCCGATTGGGCGACACCCATTGTGCCAGTGTTAAAGAAGGATGGTTCTATAAGAATTTGTGGAGATTATAAAACTACACTGAATAAGCAAATAGAGCTAAATAGGTACCCTATACCTAACATTGAGGAAGTTTCTTTGAATTTGGCAGGAGGAGACAAATTCACTGAATTAGACTTTAGTCATGCTTACACTCAACTAGAACTGCATCCAGATTCAAAAGTCTATACGACAATAAACACACATAAAGGACTCTACCAATATGAAAGACTATGTTTTGGCATATCATCTAGCCCTGGAATTTTCCAAGCTGTCATGGACAGTATTTTTAAGGACATTCCAAATGTTTGTGTGTACTTTGACAATGTGTACATAACTGGTAAGAATGACACTGAACATCTTAAAACACTTGATAAAGTCTTGAAAATTGTTGGTGAAAAAGGTTTAAAGATAAACAAAGATAAATGTCAATTCATGCTGACAGAAATTAGTTTTCTTGGATATATATTAAGCAAACAAGGCATCAGACCTCAACCTGAGAAAACAAAAGCCATTAAAGAAGCACCCAAACCTGAAAATACCCAACAACTAAGAGCTTTTTTGGGCTTAATAAATTACTATGCAAAGTTCATAGGAAATCTGTCTGGTAAACTATCACCACTGTACAAGCTGCTACAGAAAAATGCAACTTGGCACTGGGGTAAACAACAAGAAGCTGCTTTTAATACAGCAAAAGAGGCTTTGTCTGCTGACACCTTACTAACTCACTATGACCCAGGGAAAAGACTTATATTAACATGTGATGCTTCACCAGATGGTGTAGGAGCAGTCTTGTCCCACATGGATGAGAAGGGTGACAGACCCATTGCTTTTGCCAGTAGATCTTTGAACCAGGCTGAGAAAAATTATTCTCAGTTAGATAGGGAAGGCTTAGGCATCATTTTTGGTGTTAAGAAATTTCATAAGTTTCTGTTTGGTAGGAAGTTCACCATCTTTACAGATCATAAACCATTGCTAGGTTTATTTGGAGAAAACAAAACCCTACCTGAGCATGCCTCACCAAGAATTCAAAGATGGGCTATCACACTAACTGCATACAATTATGAATTGAAATACAAACCTGGATCTGAGAATAGTGCAGATAGTCTTAGTAGATTACCTTTAAAAAACCAAAGCCTGAGCTATGTACCAGAAGATGTATTTGTTCTCTTCACTATCATGGATAACTCCAATATAAATGTGAATGATATTAAGAGAGAAACACAAAAAGATGAGTGCTTAATAAAAGTATATGAGTACTGTAAAAATGGTTGGCCTGAAGAGTCAGTGAATGAGGACTTAAAGCCATATAAAATAAGAAAAACAGAGTTAAGTCTAGAAGATGGATGTATACTATGGGGGTCAAGAGTAATTATCCCCAAAATGTTACAAAAAGAAGTTTTAAGAACTTTACATGATACTCATCTTGGTTCTTCCAAAATGAAGAGTCTAGCAAGATCATGGTTCTGGTGGCCACATATGGATGCTGATATTGAAAAATATGTAAAACTTTGTTCAAGCTGTGCACAACATTCAAATCAACCAGCTACAGCACCTTTGCAAAACTGGGACTGGCCAATCGAACCATGGAAACGTATACATATAGATTTCGCAGGACCTTTCATGAACAAAATGTTCTTAATTGTTATTGATTCACATTCTAAATGGTTAGAAGTTAAAATCATGAACACAATCACTGCAAATGATACCATTATAGAACTTAAGGAAATATTTTCAACTCATGGATTACCAGATCAAATTGTTTCAGATAATGGGCCTAGTTTCACAGCTCATGAGTTTAAACTGTTTTGTGTGGCAAATGGTATTGAGCATATAACCACATCCCCCTATCATCCTGCTGGGAATGGTTTGGCTGAAAGAGCGGTAGGCATATTCAAAACCGCTATGGTAAAAATGAATACCGGTAACAAGTTTTCTCTTAGAGAAAGAGTAAACAGGTTCTTAACCAAATACCGCACAACTCCTCATATAACAACAGGTGTTGCACCATGTGAATTGCTATGTGGTAGGAAAATTAAAACTCATCTTGACCTACTACATCCAACTGTTCAAAGGTCTGTTTCCCAACATCAACATACACAAAAAGTAAATCATGACAAATCATCCATTGAAAGAGAATTTGCAGTTAATGATAATGTGTATCTGAGAAATTATGGGAGAAAGGAAAAATGGATACCAGGTCAAATTGTTCAATGTACAGGACCTGTGTCTTATAAAGTAAAAACAAATGATGGACTTATTGTCCGTAGACATGCAGACCAGTTGAAAATAACTTGTGCAGATAATAAGTGTGAATCTGTCAATCCCACCAAGTCTGATCAGTTCACACCAACTCAGTTTGTTCCACAACCAAGTTCTGTTGATATGAGTGAACCAAGTTGTCTGGAGTCAGAAAATGTAAATTGTGGAGTTAATGATTTAAATCCTAGACCTCCTGAGATAGAGAATCCAGATGGTCAGAATCTTGAGTCACCAAATCAAAAGCCACTGAGAAGGTCAAGCAGGACAATCAAAGTCCCAAATAAGTTAGACCTATGATTCTAAAGGTCAAAAGGACTTTGACATTATTGTTTTGTATTTTGATTATGTTGTAGCATATTGTGCATTGTTTGTAAGGATGTAATCTACCATAATGTTCATGTTACAATATAATTGGTGATTTTAGGATACTATCAATTGTTCTATTGAGAGATGTGTTATTGTGTTCTAAGGGTAAAGGGATGTAATAGATTGAAATAATTGTGAGGTCAAGGGAACTCACTCTTCTGTATTAGTTATATTTATAATATTGTTATCTTGAGTGATGTCCCTTGCGTACTTCCTTCCGTCCTCTCTGTGTGTTACCATCGTGGTAGTTAGACCCATTAAATGTATTATATACAATACAGGCTTCTGTCGTCAATCTATTATAGAAAGAGTACCGAAGTAGCTTAATTTGAATACTCTGCATCAGCTGTTTTGGTAAAATTTTGAAGAAAAAGTTCTTAAGTGCTGATCTTTAGGGGAAAAAGTTCTTAACTGTTACCAACCAATCACAAAATTACTGCCAGCCAATAAGAATGCACCAAAAAGGCACACCCTTCCTGTTACTTTCTACAACAATGGCTGACAACGTAGTTGAGAAAAGTGAAAACAAAACTGGGAAAAAAAGAAAATCTACACCAAATAAATGGTCAAAGACTGCAATAAAGCGTGCCAAAGCTTCAGGTATGTTGTTTATTGAGTAATCAAAATAATAAAATTAAAGATAGCTATGTATACTAATTTCTATTTAAAAATAACATTCACTTTGTACTTTACTTTCTTATCAATATCATCATGCCATGCTATGATTTCGGCTTTCATGCTGTACTGTACTGTTATCACTGCAGAATTTCGGCGATTTGAGGACTATATTATTAATATTATGTAAAATCTAGATCTAGTCTGTTTTAAATTATACGTTTATTAGCCTTAGGTACCTTTCTATTGAATTAAACAGCTCTCAGTTCTATTTTAAATAGTAGGCCCTATCTAAAATGTGATTTTTTTTTAATTTATAGAATCTAGATCTAATTACTAGATCTAGTATTAGCCTATCTATACTATTAGTATTACACCCTCTTCACCTCACTCATATTATGTTGTAACCTAATGAAAAATGTAAACTTTCTATTTGCAGGCGATGCTCACAAAAACCATGTTGGAAAGGATGTTGATGAAAGGAGCCAGCACTATGTGGACTGCAGGTGCAAATGCCTAGAGAAGTTTAACGATGGAGAAAGGAGTAATATTTTAAAAGAATTTAATGAGCTTGCCGAACATGAGAAACAAAACATTTATTTAAGGGGTTGCATTTCTGTAAAAGAAGAAAACACTATCAGGCGAAAGCAGAGTCAGGCAGCCCCCAAAACATTCCGTAGCAGCTACAGCTACACAATAAAAGAAACTGGCTCACCTATACCTGTGTGCAAAAATGCTTTTTGTGCTCTGCATGGTATTAAGGAATCACGCCTGAAGAAAAAAGTCCTGAACTTTGAAGACCCCCTACAAGACTTAAGAGGAAAGCATGGCCATCACAAAAAACTTAATGATGAGATTCGCCAAGCAATCCGTCAACATATTTCTTCATTTCCTGCAAGAGAAAGCCACTATTCTCGAGCAGACAATAGAAAAAGGATCTACCTAACCTCTGACCTTAACATTTCTGAGATGTTTAGGTTGTTTTTGGAACAACACCCAGACATGAACACTATGGCCAAAGAATGGATCTATAGAGATATTTTGAACTTTGAATTTAATATTAGTTTTGGGTTTCCACGCACAGATATATGTGACACGTGTGAAAAATTTAATGCTGATATTAAATCTGCCACTGTCAACAGAAATAATGATTTGGTTTTCAAACTAAGAACTGAACATGAAGTTCACAAAAGAAAAGGGGATGCCTTCTATGAGCAGATAAGAGAGGATAAGCATCTTGCTCTTTCTACTAATGATACTAAAGTCATAGCTATGGATTTCCAAAAGAACCTGCCTCTACCTGTTACTGGGATTGGCCAGGAGTACTACAAAAGACAGCTGGCTGTGCATAACCTTGGCATTCATGATGTTTGCTCTGGAAATGCTTCGATGTACATTTATGCAGAAAATTTTGCTAACAAAGGACCCAATGAGGTTCTTTCATGTCTGGAACACTATATAGAAGAATTGCCGGAGTCGATAAGAAAACTGGTCATTTTCACAGATAATTGTTTTTCTCAAAGCAAAAACCGATACATTGTTGCTTTTTTGCAAAATTTATGTAATACTAAACTGACTGAAGTTGTTATTAAGTACCCTATTCCTGGTCACAGCAGAATGCCATGTGACAGAGACTTTGGCAGAATTGGAAAAAAAAAATTAAAAACAGATAAGTTTTATAAGCCTTCTGACCTGGTAAATCTTATTGCCAAATCAAGCATTAATAATTCATGGAAAATTGTGTATGTTGAACATCCATTTACTGACAATTTGGAAATGGACAGTAGACCTGTTGTCAGGGTTAAAGATTTTAAATCTAGCCTGGACAAAGTCATTAAAGCGCCAGAGGGTATTGCCAGTCTCAGAGGGATTTTATTTGAAAGGCTGAAGAACCCTGTTGGCAGAAGCTCAATGACTGGCCCTCTTACTTTCACTTTAAATTTATTAAAAAGGGGAAAATCACTGAACACCTTAAAATCAGCTATTCAAGATTTCCCTTTGGCATTCAACGGCTTTCTTCCAATAAAGAAAGCAAAATTTGATGACATTATGTCACTTTTGTCCCATGTCCATCTTCCAGAGAGTGTAACTTTTTACACTTCCCTCAAACCTTTAGAAATGTCTACAGAAGAGGATGAGCAAGCTGATGATTTTGAATAGGACATTTAATTTAATTTTGTATAGATAATTATTGAGGTAAATAGTGTTACCATCAAGATTATAAATAATTATTACATCACATTTGTTTTACTATTTCTGTTGACTCTGTATATACCAATAATTTAAATTCATTTTGTGTTTATACCTTTGTTGTTTAAAATTTGAATGGAAATAAACATTTTGACATAATCATAAACAGAATCTTGTCAAAGTGTGTTTATCGTTAAAGAATATTACTATTTGCCATTAGATGTTTACTTTAAAGGCAGTCTTTTAATAAAATGATTTCCAGTTGGTATTATTCAAATGGTAGCTGTAGATAGATCCATCTTATGTAACCTACACTAATAGGCAGATGATCACTGATGAACTTAACACTGGCAACAGAAATGTTATCTACCTATTATTTAAACATCATACTAACAGCTGCTTGAATTATAAATAAACAGGGTGTGAGTAGGGGACTATTATTGACTGACAAAACATTTATGGGTGCAAAACATTGCTAGTAAATTTAAAAATTAAGTTGAAAATAAAAATTCAGGGCAAAATTCAGGGCAAAAAGTACCTAAGTGCAAAACCTCTTATTTATCACAAAATCATTATTTTTTACAAAACAAGTATAAAACTTGGTTCAGATATCTAGCAGTGTGTGCTGTATATAAAAAAAAATGTTACAGTTAAGTAAAATGAATAAAAGGTATTTCAGCTTCAATTTAAAAACTTTGACCTCATTTTTCTCAAAACTCTCAAAATACACTTAAGTACTTTTTCCACTGAGCCCTTCAATTATATTTAATCTACCATATATATCAAAATACGTTAAAATAAAGTAATACATTCCAGCTGGAATATAAAGGCATCTAAATACTAAATACTATATTACAATACTCACAAGAAGCTATCGTAGACTGAATGCTAGCACCAACAATTGAGTCATGTGACTTGCACACTTACGCAGGTTTTTTATATAAATAGAAAAAACCCGGATTAAACTGGAATTGCCGCGGACGACGTGGCGACCGACAATTACTCACATCACGTCGACTGCAAAAATAGCCAATCAGGTTTCGGGGTTGGCGGGGTCGAGTCGGTAAAGCTCATGGTTGCTAAGCCGAAAAGTCTCGAGTTCGAACCCTCGGGCAGGTGAGGCTCTTCTAGTAGAGACAACTCCAAATTCAAACAACTGCTGCCTTGGTTGGACAAAGGCTATAGAAGCAAATATAAAAAGAAAAGCAATCTGAAATCGGAGCCAATGGCCTCAATGGCGAATAACCAGTTGACACATATCCTAAGTACTGATGGAGGCGTGGTCGAGTCGGCAAAAGCTCATCGTTGATAAATTCGAAAAACTCTCGACTTCAAACCCTCTGACAAATAAGGCTCGATCCTTGTCTTTCTACATCAATGTGCTGTTTTGTCTCTCTACATCAATGTACTTTTTTGTCTCTCTACATCAATGTGCTGTTTTGTCTCTCTACATCAATGTGCTGTTTTGTCTCTCTACATCAATGTGCTGTTTTGTCTCTCTACATCAATGTGCTTTTTTGTCTCTCTACATCAATGTGCTGTTTTGTCTCTCTACATCAATGTGCTCTTTTGTCTCTCTACATCAATGTGCTGTTTTTGTTGTGATATATTACATGACAAACCCCTCAACCTCATTTTCACAATATCATACTGATATCGGCAGTCTTTGAACGTGTCTTAATTTTTTTTATTGCCCATGAGGTCACGAGGCATAATAAACTACACACCCACCTGTCGACGAAACACTCGTGCACACGCTGGTGCAGTGACATTTTTCTTTTGTCATGGAAACAAGTGGGACAAACGTTCTTTTCTAGAAAGTAAAAACAATGACTGGGAATAGATATCTTGATGCAGATGAAATTTCGTGTTGGCATAGTGAGACAAAATAATCTAGGACCAACCACGTGGGGTTAGTGACAGAGGCGTAGCGAGCCTTCCCGGTGCCCGGGGACAAACTTTGAATTTGGTGCCCCCCCCCCCCCTCGGGAGCAAATATGTTCACTTTACACCGCCCCCCCCTCAGACTTTCGTTTTGCATCCCCCCCAAACTATTTATAATGCAAAAGTGCAAAAGTGCAGCTAAAATGACATTTTAATGTGTCTTTACAACACATTTTGGCGCCCCCTAAGGTCGGCGCCCGGGGTCATATGTACCCCCCTGCCCCCCCCCCCCCCCCCCAACGCTACGCCTCTGCTTAGTGGCCATCATGTTACAACATTAATTAAACAATTGACTAGGTTTTTTTTCTTTCATTCGGATCTTCCTTCATCTATTGTTGTTGTTTTTATAATTTTGTGATAAATATACAGTTTTTATGTTATTAAAACACTAGAAAATGCTACCAAATACTAAGCTACTACCAAATACTAAGCTAAAACAATGCATAATAAACATTTCTGTCTGAAGAAAGAAATAATTCCCACCCTCCTCTTCCTCTTACAGTAACTCGCTAGTCAACCCACCGTAAGTTTATAATATTGTTACATTATTTTATGAAAGACTTAAACGGGAACATCAGTCTTTATATCGGACTGTAAACAACTAATGAGTAATACATTTGTTCCGAGTAGGCTTACTAGCAACAGGATAAAATAGGAGCATTTAATTATTTAATGATCCCCTTAACTTACGCATTGCAACATTGCTCATATATCTTTTATTTTCTCAGTCTATATCATTGTTTATTATAAATATGCAATATTTTTTTTCTTTATTGCAAAATGTCACTACTACTCAAATAAAAACCTTAACCTTAACCTTAACCTTAACCTTAACCTTAACCTTAACCTTAACCTTAACCTTAACCTTAACCTTAACCTTAACCTTAACCTTAACCTTAACCTTAACCTTAACCTTAACCTTAACCTTAACCTTAACCTTAACCTTAACCTTAACCTTAACCTTAACCTTAACCTTAACCTTAACCTTAACCTTAACCTTAACCTTAACCTTAACCTTAACCTTAACCTTAACCTTAACCTTAACCTTAACCTTAACCTTAACCTTAACCTTAACCTTAACCTTAACCTTAACCTTAACCTTAACCTTAACCTTAACCTTAACCTTAACCTTAACCTTAACCTTAACCTTAACCTTAACCTTAACCTTAACCTTAACCTTAACCTTAACCTTAACCTTAACCTTAACCTTAACCTTAACCTTAACCTTAACCTTAACCTTAACCTTAACCTTAACCTTAACCTTAACCTTAACCTTAACCTTAACCTTAACCTTAACCTTAACCTTAACCTTAACCTTAACCTTAACCTTAACCTTAACCTTAACCTTAACCTTAACCTTAACCTTAACCTTAACCTTAACCTTAACCTTAACCTTAACCTTAACCTTAACCTTAACCTTAACCTTAACCTTAACCTTAACCTTAACCTTAACCTTAACCTTAACCTTAACCTTAACCTTAACCTTAACCTTAACCTTAACCTTAACCTTAACCTTAACCTTAACCTTAACCTTAACCTTAACCTTAACCTTAACCTTAACCTTAACCTTAACCTTAACCTTAACCTTAACCTTAACATTAACATTAACATTAACATTAACCTTAACCGGACTACGATGTTGCCGTCCGGTTGCTTAGTCGCCGGCCGAATACGTTGCTGACACTGGCTAGGGCACTAGCCAATAAGGCCGTCGTTGTCTAGGGGTATTTAATTAGTCTACCCGAGTCAGCTCCAGTGAAAAAATCAACGGAACAGGAGACCTTCTTAGTTTGTGCTGTTTATTAATTCGCTAAATGCCTGTTCGGCCGAGCGAGGCTTCCCCTCACCGCTAACTTCGGGTGTGTGTGTGCGAGAGAGAGAGAGAGAGAGAGAGAGACTAACTGACCTGCCTGTATTTATACCCCTGTTCTAACCCCCTAGCTATTCCCATGGGACAATGAGCTTTAAACTTGTGACCTAACAAATTATCCCCCTGGCGCTAACAACCCTGGCTACTGGTCAGTATAAAGGCTACTATTGTCCTGTCAGAGCGGTCAGTCTCTTTGAGCGTGTCACCTACTGTCCATCCCTACTGTGTACCCTGTAATTATATAGTGAATGGATGTTGGTGGAATTCTGACCCAACATACTCACCCATACCCAGAGCAAATTGGGCTTTGCACTATTTGCCTAAACTAAATACTAAACTACTATTGTAAATTTGCCTTCGCCCAGCAGATGCTATATACATACAACTAAAATGTGTATACATACATTACAATATACATAATAACATATAATGCATATATAGAAAAAAAATATTAAAGAAAAACAAAACAAGCAAAGCTTAAAACAGGATCTACAACAGCAATTAGCACATTTGATGAAAAAAAGAATTAAAAAAAAAGAAATATATAGTCTATAGTAGAAAAATCAGTTGTCTGTTTGGTGGCGTATTTTCGAAAATTGTGTACAACAAACCTCGACCTTATTTTATAACTTAGCCAAGATCTCAACTTCCTCTGAAGCCACCGACGGAACTTCATTGCTTTGATTTCCGACTTGCATGGGTTCAGGTGGGCTTTTTAAGGGACCCAATATTTTTTACCAAATAAAATTGAAAATTTAGTATTATCTCTTCTCTCCCCCACCACCCTCTACCTCCCGCTTATGATTTTTAAAATACAAAAAAAATATTAAAGAAAAACAAAACAAGCAAAGCTTAAAACAGGATCTACAACAGCAATTAGCACATTTGATGAAAAAAAGAATTAAAAAAAAAAAGAAATATATAGTCTATATATATATATATATATATATATATATATATATATATATATATATATATATATATATATATATATATATATATATATATACATATATATATTGCAACCAAGGTTCAATAGCTCACGCACCCACTCATTCACGCAAAATTAAACTTCCTGGGGGCCAATTAGAACAATTATAAATTTCAAGTGAACTTGCATACTTTTTGTTTCTATTGCTACTAGTGACAACCCATAGCGAGTCTAGCACTCACGCTTTCAAAATCCACCCTCTATTACTCATTCCCTCAATTCCCTTGATAGCATGTCAGCTACTATATTCTCTTTTTCCTGGTATATGCTATATAGTAAACTTAAATTCTTGTAACAATAGAGACCATCGAGTTAATCTAGAGTTGCTGTAACTACAGTTATTTAAATACTTCAAAGCTCGTTGGTCCGTTTATAGTGTAAAGTGTACGTTGTTTAAGTACAGTGCTAACTTCCCCACTGCCCAGATAATGGCCAAACATTCCCTCTCAATTGTTGAGTACCTCGTCTCTCGCGGTAGCAACTTCCTGCTCACATATTTGACGGGCCGCAGCACCCCCTGTTTAGCCTGCAGTAGCACTGCGCCGATGCCGCGTGCTGAGGCGTCCGTCCTGAGTATGAACGGTTGGTTAATATCGGGCAGGACAAGGACAGGCTCTGAGTTTAAGTGCTCCTGTATCAGCCCAAGAGCTGGTTTATCCCCCGCCAAAAGGTCAGTCAACACCGCCTTAAGATTGCTGAAGTTGGGGATACATTTGGAGTAATAGCTAATAAGGCCTACAAGTTGCCTCACTTGTCTCTTAGTTCTTGGGATGGCAATGTTTAGAATTTTATCTATTTTACTTCTCTGAGGTGCCATTACTCCACTTCCCACTATATGACCGAGGAAACTTACCTGTTCAAATCCTATTTCTATTTTTGACGGTTTTACAGTTAATCCTGCTTCCCTTAATCTCTCTCTCACTCTCCCTCTCACTCTCTTACTCTCTCTCTTACTATGTATATATATATATATATATATATATATATATATATATATATATATATATATATATATATATATATATATATATATATATATATATATATATATATATATATACTAGCCATATATTTTATCAATCAACGCTAATTATGTAATTATTTTCCCAACACCAAAACTCAGTAATAAAAAGTATTCTCT